TTAAAGGAAAAGGTTTCTCGGTGAACTGTTGATGTTCATATATACCTTTAAAACTTGTTGATAGGGTACATTGTGCCAGAAACTTTAAAGTAGGCCTATGATGACTGCATTCTTTTGGCATATCTCTTAGTCTTGATCTTTGAAATATGGTTCAAACTCTGGATCCCTTTTCTTCCTCACCAATCAGAAAGATCCAAATGGAAATATGAGATGGGTGAACTGGAGAGGATTCAAGTGTAGCTCCAAGTAAGAGAAGTGGTCTTTAGACTTTGTGGATCTCCAGTCCCCAGCACTTTATAGGCAACAGGATATGACTGGCCTCTTGCAGAAAAATAATAGAGCTGCCAACTGGGGAGTATGAAGTAGGCATTTTTTTGTAGTACATTGCTTGCCTAGTTGTTGTAACACATTGACCAGTGAAACTCAGGATCTGCTGTTCAGGATGTTGGTAATGAAAATTTAAGTTACTTTTCAGCTCTCTGCCAAGAGGGGCAGAGTAACAACTTCTAGTGATGGTGTGTCCCTGTTCACTCTGGTTGACTCCTGTAAACTAGCAAGAGAAACACCCAGGCTTTTAGGAGGCTTTTCCTGAAAGTGTGGAGGCTGATCTGCAGCACTGATTTTTTTTTTTTTTTTTTAAATTTTTTGACCATTGTTAACATTTGCTGCTTTAGCTTATTTGAAACATTAGACAATCAAAATGAAAATACTCACTTTATAGAAAAAAGGTTCTTGAATATGATAATGGGAAACTGTTGAAAGAATAGTGTAATGTAGATCAGAAATGTGAAAGATATTAAGGTCCTCTTCTGACTGTTGCTTGTGATTTCTTAAAGGTACTGTACAGTGGGTCTTTGTGGGATGCTATTCATTAGGAACCAGTTCTGTCCTGGAATTTTCTTTCTTCCCATTTCTTCATATTTCCTATTTAAATTGTAAAGCAGATTAACAAAAACAAAACCCTCAACACTTATATCCAGCACTTCTGGGTATCATTCTGTGTTGTGGCCTTGCTTTCAATCTTAAATTTATTCAGAAATAAATTTCTTTGAATAAAGCGAGACAGTAGAGACCAATTCTTCTAAGCTTATGTGTCTCTGCTGTCAAGAAGGTAAGTGGATTGCAGTCATAAACTTACCTTGTAACTCTTAAAAATAATTAAAGAAAAAGTATTTTGGCATTATGCAATAATTGGTCTTTTGGCTTATTAGCACTGTATTGAACTAAGTATAACAGTACATATATGTGCTGTTAGGTTTTCTAACACAAGGCTCTGTTTGTCAATACGGCTGTGACAACCCACATGTTCTTCCATCCCCTATTTCTTGATGTTAGATAATAAATAGCAGTACATCAAGTGGGCTCTCCTCCTTCCATGAGAACTTTTTGGGATTTACTATTCTATTGTGTTCTTCACTCAGCATGTTACTTTCAGCCTGTGACCTTTTGCTGTCCCTGACAGTTTAATTGTGGCAAAACTTTATGAATCATTCTATCAGGAGAGATATTAGCTGTGTATTATTTTGCCTTTTATAGACTCCACAGAGAACATATTGATGTGAGGAGAGATGTTTGAAAATAGGGATGCTTGAAGCATGCAGTACAGCACACACAAGTGTCCTGTCTTATTGTCAGTGTCAGGAAAAAATATTCTGAAGTCCCTCACTGCTAGTGAAAAAGAGGAATCTTAGCAAGCAGGAGAATTTGAACCCATCTTGATACAACTCAACGTGAAAACTAACTTTATTCTTGTAGATCCACTCTAATAACCACCTTCCCTGTTGAGCCCCACTAGCCTGCCTTTCTTGACTTTGGTGTTTGTTTTTGTTTGTTTTTGTTTTTCACTACAACAATTTCTGAAGCTGCAAGCTATTCTTTATGGAGATTTTTGGTATCTGCTTTGGTCCAGGTGCTATACATTATCTTCTTTTAAGCCAAAGTAACAATTGATTTGCTGCTCAGTGTTTGCCTCTATAAAGGGAAGAATACAGTTTCATCAGGTGCACAGGAGGACTAGTGACTAGAAAATGAACTCTGCTGAGCAGAGGTGTGTTCGGAGTGCCCCAGCAATCCACCAAGGCAACATCCTGGCAAGTTACTTATAGCAGCTGAAAGCAGCAGTCTCAGCGCATGGCACAGTAACAAGCAGTAACACCCATCTGGGTGGGCTGGCTGCAGCTAAACCTTATACTCTTGCTGGTGTTCTCTCCTTCATTCTGAATCCCTTGCCTGTATTTAATCCTGCTGTAGTTTAAACACGTGTCTATCTGCAATGTGTGAAATGTCCCTACCGCCCATGCTAAGCTATTTGCTCACCTGCTTTGTTTAGAAAGACAGCTTTCAAAAAAACAATTATTCAGTATTAGAGAGGAAAGCATTATCACATTAATAGAGCAGGGGTGAGGTGGTAATTCATCAGAATAAATGGTTCTTGGTATCAAGATGATGAAGATTACTTTATGCAATTTTCTCTCCTCATTTCACACATTGGATGTGTTAGCAAAGTTGTGATCACTGTTGCTAACAAGCTAAGAATTGTATATATCCTATTTCATTTACCATGTTGGCCTCTGTGTTTGCCTCATTTGCCCTTTGTGCTCCTTTTCAGACAATAAACTCTTTGTGGCCAGAAACTGTCATTGTTAGGTATTTGCATAGTGCCTGGCACAATCAGAACTAAACCTAGTTTGAAGCTTTCTGTTATTGCAATGAAAATGCTTTAAATTTTAATTAAATTCTATGGAAGACAACAACACTTAAGGGTGAGGTAGAGGCACCAAAATTACACCTAATGCTGTTTTTCATATAAGATGGGTAGCACTGCCCATTACTAAGCTTGCCCGATATGTCCCACTGTAAGATCTTCTTTTAAATTGCTTGTAATGTTCTGAAACTCTCTCCATTTGGACTCATGCTTTCTGTGCTTCATGTTCAGATTTCAGAACACTTCAGGCAAGGTGAAGTGTTCCGGCCAAAACCAAGGCTGGATTAAAAAAAAAATATTCTGTGCATTTTAATATCTACAGAACTTTTCTCTTTAATCTCTGGATCTCCCATGCTTTGGAATAGCAATTTGGAATTTAAAATTTTGTCCAAGCTTGATTGCACAGTAACTATCTTAAAAGCTTCAGGTGAAATGTACGCAGCAGCACCTGCTAGAGTTTCTCAGCTTCCTGGAGGTTCCCTCCACACTGAGGATGCTAAACTGAATTTCTCTGTATTTGCACCTCTAGAGTACTGAGGCTTGAGACCCCATTCTCCTGTGTTCTTACTTACCACTTCCAGTGCTCGAAGTCTGTAAGAATGAAACTGGACTGAGCACGATAAGGAGAATGACACCTGAAATGTGGAAGCTGGGACTGATTAGGTGAGAATAATGACATACAGACAAGGAGCAAGAATGGGAAAGGGTAGAGCTGAGAAGGGATGAGATGAAAGCAGTTGCTTTTGGAGAAGTGGGCAGAAGCCTAGTGCGTAACCACTATAACTTAATCCTGTCCAGAACTTGAAGTAGGAGTTAAGATTTCTGAACTTACAAAGTGCTTAGATGCCTTGTACTACTAAACCACAGGAGGAGTGGCAACCTACTATGTTACCAGTTGCAATGTTAGTTCATGTTCCAGAGTTCAGTCAGAGGATATGAAGTCTGCAGTCCTGCACAAGTCTGTTGAAGGTATGAGTGTAGTGTATCGCAATGAAGTTGGTATGTACTTGTTTGAGTAATTGCTCACAATTAATTTGCCTTAATGGTAAAAGACCATTAAGATCTCAAAGCTGGGAATTCACAAGCTATCCTTAAGTCACACTTAAGTGACTTAAGCATCACCTTTGAGATCTGGAGCAGATGCAGGGCTGGTTGTTAAGGCACAGACAGAAAGAAGAGCCTATATCTGTCTCATTGGCTATATGCCTTACAGTTGCCACAGAAGCGAGCAGGAGTAACACAGGTAAGTCTTGCTGGCTGTATGACCTTAATCCTGGTGCACAACCAGGTCTGTTCTGTGCTCCTAAAAAGCAGCATGTGATCATGTAATTGAAGGCAGTCATAAACTTAATTCTGGTAATGCCTGACTGGGAATCTTAGCTTTGCAACCTTTGTAGTGTTTTGTAACCTTCATGAAATGTTTGTTTGGTTCTTTGTTTCAAATGTAAACTAATACTTAAACTGCTGTAGTAGATACCATTATGTGATGTATTTAGGCTGTCTTCAATAATCCACATATAGTGTCTGCTTGCAGAGTTTGATCTTTCAAGAAGATAAGCAATGCAAGAAGAATGCTCAGAGAAAGAAACAATGGAATACTTTTTATATGCTTAAAACCACATAGATAATTTCTTTACAGCTTGATAAAACAAACATATACCTAACATGATTTTAGGCTGTCATTAGTTAGTGTATTTACTTGTGTGAACAGTTCGGAAGTGGTTGTGTGAGAAGTTTTTCATGTGTGGTAGAGTTTGGTTTTGAATTTTATATCCAAGGTACTTATGCTGTTGGGTTGTGCCTGTACGTTTGCATAGAGAGGGGTAGAGAGAGGACAGATACATATGGCTGGCTTTGTGACACAGCTCATGATAACTGGACAGACACTCGTCTCTGCTCAGTGTAATATGAGCTTCTAGCTTTTGATTAGTGCATGCAGAGTTAATTTTTCACGTGGCAGGAACGTGATGTTCCTTTCTTTGGCATTTTTGCCCATCTTTGTCCTTTTCTTCCTTTGTTCTTCTGTGACTAGAAGGGTTGTAGTTTTAATGCTGGTACTTGAATTCATCTCAAGCATGGTGGCTGTTAGTGTCATCTCTCCCACTGCTTTATGCAACTAGTACAGTTTTTCTGCATCTGAACATTTCCCTTCTCTAGCAGTCTTACTTCTCTTAGTACGTACTCTATACACTTTACTCAATTTACTTAGTGACACCTTCTGCTCTCTTCTTGGCTTTTAATTGTTTCTGATGGGTTTTTTTGTTTTGTTTTGTTTTTTGTTTTTTGTTTCTTTTAGTTAACAAACCTGAACTTGGCAAGTGGAGCTATAAGCAAGGGGAAAGGAGCTGCCCCACAGAGCTACCGGTCACCACTTAACAAAAGAGGGTCATTGTGGGCTGTTCAGTCAGACACTCATATAGCTGACAAAAAATCTGTCTCTTCAGCAGTCAGGTAAGTTAAAATTGCCACTCCAGCTTTTTGAAGAAGAATGCAATGCACTCAGGAGCTCATTCATAATTTGTGTTTGGCTTCCTGCTCAAAAGATAACATTTAAGGGCCTAGTACTGATTCTTCTCAGGACTAGCCTAGAAACTAGGTCTATGAAAATAGAGCTGTGTCCCCAGAGCTGGCAGGTTCATGGTGAAATAACGGCATGGATGAACATGTAGAATGAAAGGGAGATATCTGTTTCTCTTTGGTCATTTCTTATCCTTGCATCTGTAAGATTACGTTTGCTGGTGTTGAGACCTATACGCAGAAAGCAAACTTACATCTGGTGTTGCAGAAATCTCCAGTAAGGCCTCCTCTTCATGCTTTTTCCTTGAATATGAAGTTTAGATTGTTCAAAGATAGAGCAGTATCTTGCAGTGTTTAAAAAAGTTTCTTTTTCAGATGGCTTCTTTATGCTCTTTATTAATTTTGGACATTGGAATTTATATTTATGGCTGATACACTCATGGGACTTGGGGCAGAGGACTCTGGTTCTGCAGTGAAACCATTCTTCCTTGGACAGAAAGAGCAGTGAGATATACTCCAAGGATTCTGGATCTTGGAAGCTAGGAGCAAGGCAAGCTTGCTGCAGTAGACTAGGCTGAATACAGGCCCAGAACTGCTAGACATTTGAGTTCTTCCTTTGCCACTTCAGTAAACTTTTATTCCTTTGCCTAAGCCTTCATTTTTGTCTTTTAAAATAAAATAATGAGGCAGATATTCTCCAGCACATGAGTTTAGGACTGGAAATCACTGTATACATGAAAATGATGATTCTTGTCACTAGTGCCTGAATGCTACTGGAAAATGGAGGGAGGTGAGAGAGGCAGATACACAGTGCAGAAGGCATGTGACCTGAGTGGTCATCCTTTCCCAAATGGGTCCCTCAATAGGAGCATTGGAATGGGATTTAGAAAGCTCAAGAAAAATTGTTCTTATTTCATCAGTCACTGCTTTTCATCCTGCCTGAAGAAGAGGAATGCGAGAAATGAATTCCTGGCCTGTTTCTGTTCCAGCACAATGTTTGCCTCTGGGGTTTAGAGTTATTGAGAGAGGTGGTGGTGATTCTGCTCTTGGAGCCCAACCAGGCAAGCTATTACCTAACCCAAATAAAGAACCTATCCAGCAGGTGTAAACTGTCTTCCCCTCCTACATAGCTTGAGAGAGCAGCAGAGTGCAGGCTGTCCTAGAGCTTCCTGTTCCTTTCTCAACCCTGCTTGCACCTCTGCATGGACTCACAGACATAGCTGGAAAAGGATTACTCATGGTCAAAATCTTCTGTTGCAGAACTCTGCAGAAGTCACTGTAATTACCATATTGCTCTGAAACCATTTCAGTTCCATGTTACCTGTAGATCTGAGAACCCATCATTTAGTGCCCAGAACTCCACTCTGAACAACTTCCAGGGCTGTGCCTCATCTAGCATTGTATGCATAATTTAATGCCTTTAGAAATTCTGTTTTATTTTGTACAGCAATCCAAAAGTACTTCGGAATTGTCTGGTCACAGCTGGAATAAGATTCCATCTTCAAACATCTTGTGAACCATTTGGTCTTTCAGTGCTTCAGTTGCTCTGTTTTTATCCTCAGAGCAAGCGACGGACATGTCTAAGACTCTTTATTGAATTACTTTATCTTCATGGCTGCTTGTATTAAATGGCCAGAATACCTGGAGTTAAAAGTTTTATGTAAATCTGGAAATGAAAAAAAGGGATTCTTGAAGCAGTGCTAGATTACTTGGGCTGTGAACTTTTATTTAATGAGAGAATTCCAAAATTAATATCAAGGTCATGATATATGGAGATAGCTATTGTATTGTAAATGTCTTTTTTGCTACTTGATATGTTACATTGGAGCAAGGAGTTCGTAGAGGGTCATCTGATGAGTGTCAGCCTGTGCTCAGTGCTGGGTGACTGACTGAAGAAAAGCTTCCTGTTTTGGTCCATTAAGGTTCTGGACTATCAGTTGTAGAATTCGGCAAGGATGGAAATGTTTTGTAAATGAGTCTCTTATCTGGCTTGTACTTGGCTCCAGTTCACACATCTGTCTCTGAAACTCAGTCCTTACAGTTTTTGTATGGCTCTGTGGTAAATCTAACCCATTTTGAGGTTTGTCTGTAAATTTTGTTTTGATGCTTGCAATCTATAGAATTCAGGCTATTCTTACTGACAAATCTTCCTCCTCTTTAATTCCCCCTCTCACGGTACTGACTTACCTAAATGTTTTTCAAAAGAAATTCTCCCTTCTTTTGTTCAGTTCTTTTGGCTGTATGAGATGAGGTGCCAAATCTGCTTGCCAAAAGGCAAAGGAGATCTTGAGTTTGTAATGTAGAGACAGAGAACAGTTCTGGATATGTTAAAATGTTACTTTATAAATCTGCATTGCTGTGCCTTTTGAGATTTTTTTTTTTTTTTGTGAGGGAGAGTCACTTTCTGTAAGCATTGGTGCTATCCCCACGCAAATGATGGTTTAGGCTTTCACTGTAGCCTGCAGGGCTACACAAGAGGTGAGATGTTCCAAGTTGTACATGGGCTTACTTCTGACTACAGTAACATGGCTGTCAGCCTCTGCCATGTTTGCTGCAGCCCTGCCTTTGTTGCCCTCTGTAGCTCATTGAGGCTGTGCCAAATCTGTGCTCTCGTTCTTTAACCCTAGTCCTGTCTCATTGCCTTATTTCAGTGTTATCTCAGCTTCTTCTCAGCTTTTAGATTGGATATTAGAAAAAGAAATCTCTTTACTGAAAGGGTTATCAGGCATTGGAACAGGCTGCCCAGGGAAATGGTGGAGTCACGATCCCTGGAGATGTTCAGAAAACATGCAGACGTGTCACTTCAGGACATGGTTTAATGGGCATGGTGGTGTTGGGTTGACAGTTGGACTCGATCATCTTAAAGGTCTTTTCCAACCGAAACAATTCTATGATTCTCACTCTATCCATCAGGCAGGATTGTCACCCTTTCATGTTCTGCTGTAAAGGCACTAAACGTGATTACATGTTTTGTAGTAGAAGTATTTAAGACTCCCATGTATAATTTTTATCACAATTTTAGTAATGTAATCTGAGGACAACAAATATGAAAGTGATTCCTCATTATCCAGTGAAGCTAATTTCCAGTCTCGGAAGCCAAGACCTTACTAGAACTGCTGTTGAAAAAGTATTCTCTTGAGAGCTTTCTCAGTTGCATAATAAAGGTGAAAAATAAGGTGTTTAAGAGAACAAAGCTTGTTGATTCAGAACCTAAACTAACTTTTGAGTACTGGTTGGCAAATAGGTGCATAATCCCTAGTGGTGGGGATGGTAGACATTTCTAGAAGCTTCTGGCACTGGAATCTGCAGCTGCTGTGTTACTTTTTTTTTGGAAAAGACAGTGGATTTCTCCTCTAAGAATAACTTGGGCTCTGCAGGTCACTTAATCTGCAAGACCTGGACCAAAGCTAATGAAAGATTTCTTTCTAACTGGTACAGATTTCTGTGTTTTCTGTGGGCACCTTGGATTCAACAGCAGCCATCCTTGCTCAGGTTCATCTTTTAGAACTCATATGGGCAGTCAGTAGGCAAGAATTCAGCAGTGTTGGTCAGTATTTTCTCAGACCTCTGTTTCCTTAGCTTCTTGTTCTTTCATAACATCTTTCTCAAACCTAAAGACAAGACCAACCTGGCTCTTCTAAAGTACTTGGCGTATTTTTTCCATGGATCTTCTAACAGATTTATCTAACTTGGTTAGGGCAGGCAGGCAAGCAAGCTTCCCTGTCATCAATCAGAGGGTAGAATGGCAGTCCAGACTATACCAGACAGCCTGGGAGGGCTACTGCAGTAAGCAACAAGGAGTTATCTTCTTCGCATTGGTTGACATGCCCAAAATATTTCTTAGCTTATGATTTCAACCAAAGTGCTCAGGTTCATTGAGAAATGATGTTTTGTTGGCAGGCTATCTAATCTGGGTTAAATTATATAAACCCAGATTTTTTCAATTTTCTGATCTAAGGGTTTCTAAGTTTAATTTGCTCTGGTGTCATTCTCAGTGGTAGTAACAGCAGCAGCTGCTCAGGGCTTCACGGACTGTGTGCACATACCTGCTATATGTCCAGGTTCCCAAACAGGCTGCTCTTTGTGTATTTTCATTTTTATTTTTCCTTGCCTGGATGTATCAAATGGGGTGGGAAACTAGAAGATGCCGCCCAGCCATTTGGCATCTCAGGTTTTCAGGAACCCCAAACAGTATGCCTCGTGTGGAAATTCTGGAAATATCAGATGTGCAGTAAGCCTGCAGCTTTTTGAAAGAATCAGACTTCATGCCCATTCACAGCATAGTTAGAGCATTCACATAGTAGGTGCTTCTGGGTCACATTGCATATGTTTATGGCGTACAAATCAACTGAACAATATGGGTGCAGGAAATCCAGTACTGCTTAAAACGTTGGCTTCCTGTTCCTGTTCTAATAGCAAATATGTATTAATTTGTATCCCAAAAATTCTACACAGAAAAATGATTGTATACTCTGCTTTCTTGCACAGCCCAGCTCACAAACGATAAGAACCCTATGCCACATCCCCTGACAATCTTGCACTGCTTTTGCAGTCCCCCAAACCAGAACCTTCTTTTTAATCACTGGCCTTCCTTAGCCTTGGCTGGGTAGTGGATACTTTATATCCTCCTTCCCTACCTAGAGCCTACTACTGCTTCATGCTAGTTTCATTTACTGCTAGGGGTACATGTCCTACATGTTCTAGGTTTCAGATGTTCTGCTCTGACCATACTAAGTATATATCTTTTGGACTTGTGAGGGTGTGGAAGAGTCTCTGATCTCTTCTGAGAGTTTGTTTTGTGCTGATGTAAGTGGCTTCTCTATTTCCACAGAAACTTTGAGTTTTGCCAGAAAGACCCCAGACAATTATCACAGGCTAATTGTGGTTCACCAGTCTTGATCCTTTGTGTCAAAGGGACAGCTTGCTGTGCTTGA